TCATTTGAATTAGGATTTGAAAAATGAACATCTTTATGAGGTTCCTCTACAAATTTTCTAATTTTTTTATATAAATAATTAAAGGACATAATCAATCAATAATGATCTTTATCACAATAACCAAACCCTGAAAAGATTTTATTATTGCGCGATAAACGTTTATCACGTGGAAAAAAGGTTCATCAAATGGATGGATTCCGGAATTTTTTTTTTGGAATTTGCTACCCAACGAAAACAAAAAATTCTTTTCCAAAAAATTAAGTTTGAAAAACAGAAATTTGCATGCTCTCTCCTTTTACTTTACTTTGCTTCTCGCTCGCTTAAAATTATTTAAGAAATCAAATATTCGCCGCAAGACACAAAATTGGTGAAAGAGTAAATCGCGCCAAAAACTAAACATAAGAAGAGGCAATGAGCAATAAACCTGTACGAAAACTATAAACTACGAATTTTAGAAGGAGGTCGTGACACGGCAAATTTTCGATTTCTTTGTGTTGATAAACTACTCCCCCTCCCTCTCACTCTCTTCTCTCTACAAGTTTATAAGAAATGAAGCCTTTGCCGTACGACCCTAAATTTACCAGAATAAGAAAAAAATTGCAAATCTGATTAAAATATGGAAACAACTTCAAAAATGGCAAGAAATAATTGCACATTAATCACGTGAAAGTCATGAGTGGGTATGAATGGGTCCGGAAAAGACCGTGCAATGTAGAGGAGTGCATTTATCTCTAACTCCAGAGGGACAGAGGGTGCATTTATGGAGGGTCACTATATAATGATTGTGATGTTAACGGTTTTATAATGTCTCTTGCTTGCTGCGTTTTATTTTGTTGAAATTAATAAAATACAATATAAATTCGTTTATATCACAAACAATCACTGATATAATCGACATATATAACAACAGATAAAAAAGATCAATAAATAAAAATGAATAATAATTATAAAATAATAAATTATGTAAAATAAGATGCAATATTAAAAAGAAAAAATTTTTTTTCACACAACTAGCAACTAATCCTTGTGAAATAAGCCTATAAAATGGTTGTTTTTTTGTAAACACTACTCAATAAATAAGAAGAAAAAACCAAGGCAAAATAAAAATAATTAAATAAAAGGATTATAATAATGATAATCTAATAATGATAATGATAATGGATTTTTTATATCAGGAAAAATTAAAGCTAATACAAATGGTGTATGGAATTCTTGTAAATAATATATAGATTATAGAAATTATTATTATTATTATTATTATTTTAAAAAAAATTTTTTTTAAATAATCATTACTTAAAGCCCATATCTTTCACTAAGTCTTTGCCTTATATAAGGTGGAAAACGATTAGTGTATTCCTCCCAATTAGGTCCCATCATTTGTTTGAAACCTGTAAGGATCTATATAGGAAAATAGTATAAAAACACCAAATTAAATTATTATTGTTATTATCTTTATAATTAATTAGTTTAACAAAGTATACCTTGTGAAATACTTCATTTAATGTCGGTGGTGGTTCTTGCCATTGTACAACAGCATCACAGAAAAACATGAAACTCTATATTATTAAATATGGCATTTAGTAATTTCATCAGTATATATATAACTTTTTAATCTTTAGATTAATTAACTAACTAACCTTTGCAATTCCGTTAGGATTTACATGTATCATTTCACAAAGCCCACGGAATGCTGTATCTTTTTCTTCATTATCACGAATAGATCGTAAAGCTTTGCACCTTATTTAAAGGAAATAAAGGAAATCAATTTATAATTTTTTTAAAAATTTTTTTTCGCAAAATATAAATGTACATTACCATGCTTCAGAGAAAACATCCAAATGTGGAGCAACTAATTGTGGACATACCAACCCTAACCTACCAATAGTAATTCCCGCATTTTCTAAAAGCGTACGTGGTGTGGTTTCACATGTTAAAATGGCAATCAATCTTTACAATAACGGTGGGACCCATGGTTGCATGTCAGC